ATCTCACAGCCAATAATGTATGTCTTGGTGTGTCAGAGTTTCCTAAGGACCTCAAGGATCCCGGGCAGTACTCACACTAAGAACTTTCATTAAATAGTGTGAAGGGTTGAAGGGCCAGCTCTGGTATGCCAGATTTTAGAGAGATCTCAAGGATCCCTAAGCAGTACACATACCAGAGAGGTAGAACTTAATAGCCTAAGAGTAGGGTAAGAGTGCTTGACATAGTGTTGAAAGATTTAGTAAAACATTTTAGAAGTGAGAAGATTCAGAAATAGTTTTTTAAAGATACTAAGAGTGACCTGTTTTGAGAAGAAGGCTAAGAGTAGGAGCAGCAGTTTTGAAATCATTCTTTGAGGAAAGCATACTCAGCAAACAACCTAGTTAATCATAGAATACCCAGATTTACTTGACAAGTAGACTTACAAACAGTGGGTGAAGGGATTGGGAACATATAGGGTTGAAACCACATAAATAGGGAAACATTTGATACAACAAATGTACAGAATAACTAGGAGTCTACTGAACAAATCAGTCATGGTAACAGACAGTTAAAACATATGGAAAGAATGCAGCAGGATCATGTTGAAGACAAGAGTTTGTTGAACAAAATTTGGCATACAATTAGGGCCAATAAAATGCACTAGAAGACTAAGTAACTACATGGTCATACCAGTTGGGGGTGAGTGAACTAAGTAAACATGCTGGACAAGTATCGAAGAACTAAGTAAAGTTTGATATGCTGATTACACATAAGGCAGAATTTAGACATGCTTAATAATAGCAAGCAGAGAAACAAATTGAATAACTAGTACATGAACAACCATGGATGTATGGACATGGAACACATAAAGTTGATTTTCAAATTTTAACTAAAGACATACCAGTTAAAGAAGAAAAATGCAGAATGTAAAAAAATAGGTGCAATTCCACTATCTAGCCTTGACTTTCAGTCGGCTAAACCAACAGTTAGCACAAGTAGCAAAGAAAGAAGAGAGCGTTTGAATGTATGTGTGTGTGTTTTGAACAATGTGTTCGTATCTTGAAGGAGCAGAATGAGAGTGCTTATATAGTAGTTCAAGAGTAGAGCCAATAAGGTAAAAGAATCAGAAATCAGTAATTAAGGGCCATCAGAATCCAATCACATAAGGGGTTCAGAATAGACTTCTTAAATTAGGGGCAATTAGCCAAACGGTAATAGTATGATGTCTAATTAAGGAAAGAAGTTCAAATCAAACCAAATAAAGGAATTCATAATAAAGTAATCAGTGTTCTAATTAAGTAAAGAATCATGTAAAGGAATCAGTAAATATACAGGTAATCAAATGAGGCAAGAGTGACTAATTAAGGTCGTAAACATGGAAACATGCAAGACTTAGGCATACAAATTTCAAACAGAGCAAACTAATCAGCTGAATTTCAAAGTAACAATGATTTCTGGAAATAATATATCAACTCCCATAAATAAAAAATAAACTAAGTAAAACTTCATAGAAACATAGAACTTAGTCGGGAAAATCAGGTTCAAGTCCTAACAGGAATTTATTAGGGCAAAACTACAAAAATATTGGATTTGACGAAGAAAAGCATACAAGTCAGAGGATACAGAGCAAATTAATACGATTAGTAACACCGAAAGACCCAAATCGTAGCAAGAATTGGAAAGATCAGTATATTACATAGAGTCAACTAGGGTTCGAGTACTCTTGCAAAAATTAGTCAAGAAGATGAAAAGAATAGAATTGATTAAACATCTAGAAGTTAGAAAGCCTTTGAAAAACAACTCGTAATGACCCCTAGTTTTAGGGAAAAGCTCTACAAGCGACTAAAACAAGAAATTTTTAGAGAAACACATGTAATAGTGCTCGAATCATCTCAGATCTATACAGATCTTGAAATAATCGAAGGTAATAGACTATGGTTTTTGAAAACATAACATAGATGAGAGCATTGGCTTAGAAACCATGGATTCGTAACAACATAAAGAGAAGTTCTCACTCACAGTCGATAAAAATGGCCTGAGACAGGCTAACAAGTAGAGCTTCAAACCAGAACCAACTAGGTTCTTCGAGATCCCCTCAAGGATCTAAGTAGTCGAAGAGTCATGGCGTGTAAGAGGCCAAGACTGGCCGGGGAATACAAGAAAACATCACAACGCTGAGATATACACCGGTAACGGTGCCGAAGAAAGTAGGTTTTAATGGAGAGAGTTGAGAGATAAGGGAGATGAGGAAGGCGTGTGAGGGAGTGAATGAAAGGTTTGGGGGGGTCGTTCTACGTTAATTATGGTAAGTTTTAATGTGGACCATCGATCTAAAGGATCAACAGCCACGATTTGATGGGGTTTGGGTCGGGTTGGTGCAGATTGGGCTTAGGGTGAATTGGGCTGGTATTATTAAGGGGTTTGGGCTTGTATTAAAAGGGTTTGGTCTGAAAAATTAGAGAAATTAAAAAGGTTATTTGTTAAATACCCAAATAATTGAAAAAAAATATTTTATAAATAATTAACAAATTATAAAAAATAATTTTCATGCATAGAAATATTTTAAAACAGTTACTATATATTTAGAAAAATACAATGAGCTATTTTTGTAAAAATAATGTAATAATGTACATATGGGCTATAATTGCAAAATTATTGCAATTGTAACCAAAAGGTATAAATCTTGCCATTTGTGAAATAATTTAAACATAATATAACTATAAATAGCAATATTAAGTCATGAAATGCTATAAAGTCATTTGTTATGCAATTTGTAATTTTATGTAAATAAAATACTAGGATAAAATCAATTTAAAAATATAAAAATTATGGAAAAATATCAATTGATGCTAATGCATAGTTTTGAAGGTATATATGCACTTAAAAGCATTATAGGAATTGAGTATCAACAAATCGTACCTCATTTTTTATACTTACACTCTCGGGTTAAGAGTGGGGTGCAACCTGCAACGCTATCACTCAGTGTCGCACATTATACTAATATTGTGCTTTGCTTCTTTTGCAAGTAATAATGTTGTCTCTAAAACACCAAGTCAAAGTCATGTACGAGTGGTAGTGGTAGTGGTAATCCACCCTCAAAGAAAACACCGACTGATAAGAATGTACCGGATAAGGGTTCTAAGGAGGTATAAACAAAGGCAAGACGTGACAAGGAACATAATGGAACTTCTGAGGTGGACACTAAAGCCACCATTCTAAACTCTGAGCAGCCTGCACAGACACAGCAAAGGGCACATCAATTATGGCCGCCTAGTCCAAGAGTTGTTCCGCTCTAAATCCGAGAGGGAGCTTCAAAGCCACCACTGACTAAGAAGAGGGAAGGGAATGGCAAGGCACAACAGGAAGTAGAGTCAAAGTATGAGCCTGACTCATGTGATGATGAGGAGAGAGTTATTCTGCTGCACAAAGGTGAAGGGCAGCTGAGTGCTCCGGTTGATAAGTTCGTGTGGGAGAAGAACTTTGTGAATGGAAATGCATAGAAATAGTGGGTGAGTATCAGGACTAAACAGATCAATCCACTATTGTTTGAGAGACCTCTGAACTTTGGGGACACCAAGTCAAGCTGCCCAGATATTTTGCAAAAAATAAAGAAGAATGGGTGGACAAACTCTTCGCTCAAGGGCAAAAGGGCGAGGCAAATTTAACTATTGTTCCCGATTTGTATTAGAATTGGGATTTTAATAGTGGCAACAATATTGTTTGGATTTCAGGGACAAATGTTGACATCTCATCCACAATAATAAATAGATTCTATTGCATTCCCTTGCAGTCCAAATTAGAGTATTAGAGGAGAGAGCAGAGCCCGAACTTGAACCATGTACTTGAGGTTTTGTGTGGGAGATCAGTATAGGCTAAGCAAAAAAATGGGCTGGCAAAGACATATATCACCGGAGCGGCTCTAGCATGGTTTAATTTGGTCTGCACTATATTGATGTTAGCAATGCACAAACATATTGTGATTTGGGAGTGGGTGTTCTTGGTATATGCCCTGATAACACGTATTGTGATGAACATTGGAGCTATCTTGCGGTATCAAATGGAAAGATCTCGGAAGAACATGCAGCAGACACTTTATTTTGTGCATACATTGACAATTTTTTTAGGAAATACAAGTAGACCGAGGAGGATGATGAGATGTGCAAAGACACCGAGAGGGCATTGTATGATATTTTCTCTGTTCAGGACCTATCAACAGTCACTATTCAAAAGATGGGATATGATGAGTGCATCTTTGATATGGAAGGCGCACTTCAGTGGTTGAGAGCAGATTTAGAGGCACGAGATCGTGCTTCGCTAGCCACATAGGAGACAAAAGATTAGTGGCTGCGGGAGCAGTTTGCTGTTATGGTCGAGGTAGTTCGTGGATTAAGATAAGTACAATATATTGGAATCTAGATGAATTTTGAGGAGCCGGGATATGCAAAGTTGATTGTTGTGAGTGCTACTGAGGGCACTGCTACTAAATAGCCGACTAAGGCTCGAGAGGAGGATATTGCAAATGATGTTCCAACTAGGGAAGTTGAGATGATAGCAGCCATCAACACGTTTGGTATCGCTTTAGAGGATCCATTAGCATTAAGGACCAAGGTTCACAATCGGTCCCACCTATATCCTGAGATATGATAGAAGAGCTTCTGACACCCACTCTACTGTTGATCGCTTATTGTGCTTTTTTGTGATATTGTGCAACTGGGGATAATACACTTTCTTAAGTGTGGGTTGGGATGTTAAAATTTGATTTTTGTGGTATGTTTTAATTGCTAGTGATACATTTTGCTTGATGTGATCACACTTTGTGATGACCCAAAGGGTCACCTTCTGTTTTAGAATTCGAATCCGGGTTCTGAGACCTTGAAAACCTCATTTTCTTTCTCCTCGATTTATGTGCACAGTTCGGGCGCGTTTCTGGAAAGCTTTTATTTAAAAGTTAAGAAAAATATTAAATTTGGCCTTTAAAATTGATTAAAATTGATTTCGGTCAACATTTTTGATAAACAGACCCTGACCCATGATTTTTACGGCCCCGAAGGGTCCGTATTAAAATATGGGACTTGGGCATATGCTCAGAATCGAATTCCGAGGTCCCTAGAAGACCTGCCGTCCACACTCAAGCTACCACCGAGAAAGGCTTACGGGAAAATTCAAGAAATTTGTTCAGCCCTAAAAGACATGCCGTCCCTAGAGGTTCTGATCTCTATCCAACTCTCTTTTTCTTCAAAACAGATTTGTTTTCTTAAATTTTTGCTATCATTCATCAACAGAGATCTTATTGAGGCATCTCCAGTTAAGTCTCATCTCCTTTACACTAGGTAAGATTCATGTTATATACTTGTTTATTAATTTATTTATTTATCAAGTAAAAGACAAATTGGGAATAAATTATTGGGGTAGCTAATTCTACCAATTTATATGTTTCTTTACTCTTTGTGAAGGTAATCATATAAAGTAAAGTAAAAACCTCGAATCGATTTTTTGTCGGCCTTCCTAAACATGTTTTTAATTTTAATTAGGATAATTCTCTCTAATTAGTTTACAAATTGCTGTGGTTTGTGATTACGACTTAAGACTTTTGTTGATTAGTAGATTGTTGATTTCTTTGTTTTGTTTTTGTTTTGTTGTCGTTTCTTTGCTGATTAGTGTATCTTTAGGCTTCAGGCGTTAGTGTGTTGTTAATTATTTATGAGAAGTACAGTGCTGGAGTATTCATATTAAGAAATTCTTTTATTTTCTGTCAAAACAATATTGAACCTTTCAACTAAAGGAGGCACGGGGACCTTCACATTCTAGGAATAAGTCTAGATTCTGAGTTATACTAGGAGATTTGTATCTAGGTTAATCTGACTAGGCGGTGCAGCTCTGAAAATTGGGTTTAAGCAAGTCAATACACTTGTGTGTGCTTTAGGACAGAAGATACGTCCTAAACCTTACCCTCGTTATGTACTCAGTTAGTTTTCTTGAGTTGCTTTCTTCCCGAGAAAATTAAATCAATGGTGGGGCTACATTTATGTCCAAGAGAACAACATTTTATGAACAGAATCCCATGGCTTAACTAGTTCTTTATAGTTAAAGTGAAGAAAATTTTTTTACCTTCTCTGGTGTTCTAATTTGTTGCCTAAAGTTCGAAATGGATTTCAGATATGCCATGGCATACAAAGTCTCATATCTCTTTTCCCTTATGTGTTTGAGCAGTTAATTTTTGGTTAAGATTGTGGAGTTTTCATTCTTAAAGCAATTCTCATTAGATGTAATGACTTTAAAATTGGGAAGATGAAGCAATCGACCCTTGAGAACTTTGGTATGAATACTTCTACTTTCTGTTATTCATCTCTTAGTTCGTTACTTTGAGTCAATAGAAAGTTAATATGACAAGCAAGAGCCTCGCGGTCTTATTTTGATTATAGATCTCAAAACCTTTTTATTTCATATGTGAGGTTCAAACCTTGACATCACATAGACAATATCAAGTATCTTCATATAAAGGCTTTCCCTCCTGTTGTAATAGAATCACAACATTTAAAAGCTCATGAAGTGACGATGTGGAAACATTATTTCCTCAAATAACCTAAACAACCTCTTGCATTAGCGCTAAGGCAAAGGACAATAGTGAAGCAGGTCATGCGTCTTATTACTCTTTCTCGTCCTTGCACATATGTTCCCCAATCTGCCTTGCAGGCATGAGCTACGAAAAGTTGCTGCGCAATCTGCAGAAGCTTTTTTTGTCGTTAGCATTTACTGTTATATTTGCTATAAAATTTTGGTTTTCATATCTGTTTAGAATGACAAAGATTTCTTGAAAATCTGTGTTACTAGGTGGTGTGGAAATATTTGGCCTGAAAATCTTATCTACAGCTTTCTCTAACCTCTGAATTTCTTCAAATTATCTTCTGTCAAAGACCATTTATGTCCTTCATTATGGTGTGTGTTTCATGAGGTTCTCTAGTTGTCACAATATTGAACCTTGTTATTTTTGTTCTGGAAAATCTTTATCTTCAAGCACGTCAAGTTATATACAATTTTCGTTCCTTTTCTAAATATTATTGAATAACAATGTTTTAACAAGTATATTCACATGCCTTTGTTTCTTTCATTAAATCATGAAAGAGATTTGAGTTATGCATTTTTTCCTTAAATCTGTGAACTCTTTCCTCTGTTGATTTCTGATTCTGTTAGCATGTTTCAATGAAAAGTTTAAGTGTGATTTGGTTTCAGTGATGAATTTTGCACCTATTTGTTGAAATCTACTTACGTGAAATGATCGAGTTAATATGGAAGATGACAGAACTAGGAATCTGACCACCAGTAGGTCAGAGTCATTTCTGGCAAAGTCAGTGCAACATTTTTTATCACAGTGTTGCAAAGTGTATTCGTTACATAACTCTTAATGTGAATATTAAATCATGTTACTGCACTGTTCCTTCTTCCTATTCGTTTTACATCCTACTAACAATGTGTTTTCCATAAAGGATGAAGATAGTGTTTTGCATGATTTGTAGTCTTTGTGTTCAATTCATCTCTATATTTTGTTATCTTCAGTGTGCAATTGGGTTTGTTTAGGTGCTGATTTTAGTGATTTTCCGTTCGTTTGTATAAAGAGCTCTGTTAACAAGTCAACGTTTGTATAAAGAGCTCTGTTAAAACAGAGGTTTAATTAACAGAGAGGTCTCCCCTTTAAGTAGTTGTTAGTTTGCTTGTTTGTTCTTTATGTTTTCTATTTTGAGTTGGTGGTGGTGATTTATCAGCTCCACAATCATTTAATAAATTGGTATTTGAATTATAAAAACACTGCCAAAAAGTAATTAGTAGAGAGCTAATCATAATTAGGAAAGAAATATTTACTTAAATGCAAAGAGTTGATACCTCTCTTTTCAGCAGATGCTCAGTTACTATGTAAATGGAAATATCAACATGATTCTCTTTTTTATGATGATTTTTATCACTGTGGACAGCAAGTCAGCTGCTTACTATATCATATTTAGGCAATGTCAAGATAATTGAATAAGCATGATATGAGAAGTTCCTCTGTTATATTGCATTTAACTTTTCAGTATTATCACATATATGCTACTTTAGCACATTAGTTGGTCTCGCGATTAATATCATTGTCATAGTTTGCATCTCTTTCTTTTTGTATAGTAGAGAAAGCTTTAGATTAAGTGATATAATTATGTATCTCCGGTAATTCCTAGAATTTGTTATTTAGATCTTAATTTTTATGATTTGCATTTGTGACCCATAGGAGATTAATATTCAATGGATAATGGAGATAAAAGTTGGATGGGTCTCCGAAGATCCACAAATGAGTATATTCGTGGAGTGAATGATTTTCTCGATAAGGCATTTGAACGGGCTTCTGAAGGCAATGAAATATTATGTCCTTGCAAAAAATGTGCTAATTGTTATTGGCGTATTAGAAATGTGGTAGAGGATCACTTGGTTGGTTATGGATTTATTCAAGGATACACCAAATGAATTTTTCACGGGGAAAAGATTTCCTCGAGAAATAATCCACATCCAAGCAATGGTGATGAAGGTTCCAACATGCATGATGATATTGATGGACTACTTCATGACACTTTTAGAAATGTTGAGGGTGACATGAGGCATGAAGAAGGTGTGCGAGAGGGACCAACTGAAGATGCAAAGAAATCTTTTAAATTAGTGGAGGAAGGAAAACAAGAGCTATATCCGGGGTGTGAGAATTTTTCTAAGCTGAGTTTCACCATTCGATTGTACTTAATCAAATGCATTCATGGCTTGAGTAATGTGGCTTTTTCAGACTTGTTAGACTTGTTAAAAGAGGCATTTCCATTTGCTAAGCTACCCGAGTCTTTTTACAAGGCAAAAAATATGATAAAAGATTTGGGTCTTCATTATGAAAACATATATGTGTGCCCTAAGGATTGCATGCCTTTTTGGAATGAAAATGAGAAGAATGATAATTGCTCTGTATGTGGAACTTCTAGATGGAAGAATGTTGTTGATGGCATGACTAATGCTAGCTCCAAAATCCCTGCAAAAGTTTTAAGGTACTTTACCTTAAAGCCTAGGCTTCAGAAGATATTCGTGTGCTCTAAAACAGCTGCAGCTATGAGATGACATGCTATTGAACGACCCAATGATGGTAATTTAAGACCTCCTACTAATGGGGAAGCGTGGAAGAAGTTTGATTTCTTGCACAAGGATTTCTCTCGGGATCCTCTTAATGTTAGATTGGGTCTTTCAAGTGATGGTTTTAACCCGTTTCGAACCATGAGCATTTTCCATAGCACATGGCCTGTTATGCTAATGAACTATAATTTATCACCATGGATTTGCATAAAGCCGGAGTATATAATGCTGTCAAAGATCATTCCAGGTCCTTCTTCACCAGGAAATGATATAGATGTGTACTTACAACCACTAATTGTTGAATTGAAGGAACTATGGGAAACAGGGATAAAAACATATGATGCTAAATCTGACCAAACGTTTCAAATGCGTGCAGCCTTGTTGTGGATAGTTAGTGATTTTCCAGCACTAGCAATGCTTTCCGGATGGAGCACCATGGGGAGACTGGCATGCCCGACTTGTAATTATGGCACATGCTCTCAGTATCTCAAACATAGTCGTAAGATGTGTCACTTGGGTCATCGGGCATTTTGCCTCCTGGTCATCCATTTCGAAGAGATAAGAAATCATTTGATGGTAAAGAGGATCATAGAATAGCACCTACTCCCTTGTCATGTGTAGATATGTCAGAAGAATTGCGTGAATTTAATCATGTCTTTGGAAAGGGTCAAAAGAAACGGTGCCGGGGTAATGAGGGTCCATGGAAGAAAAAATCAATCTTTTATGAATTGTCGTATTAGGCACATAACAAATTGAGACACAACCTTGATGTAATGCACGTCGAGAAGAACATATGTGATAGTTTGCTTGGTACTTTATTGGATATGCCTGGAAAGTCAAAAGATCATGTAAATTCTCGCTATGACTTGGAAGAGATGGGGATACGAAAAGAGCTTCAACCATTAAAAGATAAGGATAATAAAAAAGTTTATTTGGCTAAAGCTTGTTTCTCCATGCAACCAGAAGAGAAAAAGTTATTTTGCGCTATTTTAAAAAATGTGAAATTACCAAAAGCATGTGGGTCAAATATATCACAATGTGTGGAAGTGGAGGAAATGAAAGTATCAGGGTACAAGAGTCATGATGCTCATTTTATCATGCATTACCTGCTCCAGGTTGCAGTTAGAAAAGTGTTGCCCAAGAATGTTTCTTTGGTCTTGATTAGGTTGGGGAACTTCTTTAGAGTCATATGTAGCAAGGTTATAAGGCGAAGAGATCTTGATAAAATGCAATCTGAAATCAATGAAATTGAATGTGACCTTGAAAGGTCTTTACTCCAACTTTTTTTGACATAATGGAACATTTGCCTATCCATTTAGTAGATGAAATTAATCTTGGGGGTCCGACTCATTTACGTTGGATGTATTCTATTTAGAGAAATCTATGTAAGTATGAGGCATTTGTTCGTAACCGATATCAGCCGGAAGCGTCAATAGCAAAGGGATTTTAGGCCAAAGAGTACTTGACCTTTTGTTCGAGATACCTACATGATGAGGTAAACAAGATTTAGCATGTATCAAACAGAAGATGATGAAGGGGTTGAAATAGAGGGAGATGATATGTCACCTATATTCCCTAAGATAGCCCATTTAATCGGACGTCAGAAGAAAAACAAAGGCAATGCATTTACCATGGGTTTACAATTATGTTTTGAAGCACATCGATATGTTCTGTTCAATACCGGAGATGAACAAATGGAGATGTTTATCCAGTAAGATAATTATCATTTTTATTATAAACTTTATTAATTTATTTATATGATATGATAATTTATACCTTATTCATAAAGGCCTAATATATGAATCTAAAATATTCATGTTTGCAGGGAACATAAGAGTTTAATTGATAATAATACAAGATCAAATGCATGGATTATAGCACGAAATCATAGTCAGGAATTCGGCAACTGGTTCAAAGAGAAAGTTAAAACTGTTGAAGTGCCAAATCATTTACGATGGCTAGATAAAGGGCCTAATATAGTTGCAAAAAGATATACTGGATATTTCATCAATGGATACTGATTTTATACGATGGAACGAGATAGCCGAGTCAAGACTCAAAATAATGGAGTGGTTCTGTCAGCAAAAACTGATAGTTTTTCTAGTGCTAGATTCAAATCCTATCGATGGAGAGGTTATCTATTATGGATCTATTCAGGATATTATTGAGATTGATTATTGGGGTTGTTTTAGTGTTATATTGTGTAGATATAATTGGTTCCATAATGAAATAGATGAATATGGCTTAACTCGGGTATACTTCAACAGATCATGTAGTGACGATGACCCCTTTGTATTGGCATCTCAAGTGCATCAAGTTTCTTATGTGGAGGATCCAATAGAGAATGATGTTTATTACCCAAGAAACAGAGTCCCTGTTGACTTGTATGATTTGGAGGAAGAGAATTGTGATAACAATGCAGACATATTTTGGAGGGAGCTTGATGATGACATTGGTTCATCAATTAGATTACCTGATGTTGATGTTATGGTCGAGAGAAGATGTTCCTAGTGATGTCATTGATATGCCATATCATACAGAGCTTTTACAAGATACAAATATAGAAACATTGGAATAAGAGGATGGTATTGATGATACTGATTGGGGTTGGATGGATGCTGATGATTGAAGAGTAATTTCTGAACATTTTTTGCATATGCAAATATGAATAACTTCAGAAGAGCTCTCTTTTGCATTTTCTTCTATTCTTCTTTGTACCATCACTTTGAAAGAAAATAAAAAAGAATGTTATTTGATATTGCTTCTTTGATTGTTCTATAATTTTATTTGAATGTAATTTTCTTTGCATGTTGTGTAATTTTGGATCGTAAATCAAGTATTTTTCTTCATGTCAATCTTGATTTCAGGTCTTTAAATTTGTTGGTAGATAGGAACAATATTTACATTGATTTCTTATATACTGATTTTGGCTCTAACTGTTTTATGTTTTATCATTTTGACAGAGTTTGATAGTCATGAGACAAGACGAACGTCTGAAATAAAAGAAAAAAAAGAAAAAACTCGACATGTATTAATGCTGGAACACTTGCCTCTTTGGCATACCAAAAAAAGTTATCGCTGACCAGAAAAATAAAGGTTACAGCTAGTTGTATACGGTCAAGTGAAGAGCGTGAGCATCTTCAAAATTTAGTTGAAGACCATTAGATACTAACTGAAACAACCACCCTGCAGCAGAAATATTAGAGGAGCAAATGCAATTGAATTCAACTGTTGATGGACAAGAACAATGTGAACAACAAGGCAAGAATTTGCGTACAAATACTAGCATTCTTTTTCAACTATAAAATTGAATTATATGTAATTTTATGATTATCTATGGTTGTATTATTGTAGGGTCTTCTGCTCAAAAAGGAAAAGAGGTAAAACAAAGATGTTATGTGTACATAGAAGCCATGACCGAAAATTGATCGTAGTAAATGAGCAAAATCAACCTGTTGGTCCTAGTAAAGATGTTGTGATAGAATTGGGCAGTTTCCTTGGCACATTGGCAAGGAATGTGAATCTTTGCCCTCTCGATATATATGATTGGAGGAAAATGGACACAAAAGACGATTTGTGGGCATATACCAAGGTTTGAAGTTTTTAATTCAATTTTTGTTTGAATATATTCAATACTTTTTTAGTAACCCATTAAAACAATTTATAGGAGAAATATGATATCTCTGACACTGCGAAAAAATGGGTTTTGGATGGAATTCAAGCTGCTTGGAGAAGACAGAAGAGTAATTTGAAAAAAAAGCACTTTGAAGCCTACGGGAATGATGAAATTCGAATGCAAAATAGGCCTGAATATATTCCAACATCTCAATTTAAGGATCTACTCAAATATTAGAACTCCGAAAAAGTCCAGGTAAATTTTACCACTTGTAGCAACTAAAACTTATAACTTACAAACAATGGTATATTTGCATTTAAATTAAGTGTTTTTGACGCTTAACAAGTTACCGCTGCCCACAGTGAAATTGTACGGCAGCAGTGTCTCTGACGCGAACGCAGTCCAACTCTCGCCCTCAGCGGAAGGGAGAATCAGAGAACTAAAAGTGGAGCTAAAAATTGAAGACCACGGTCCGCGATCATATCTCACGGCCGCAGTTGAAGGAACGCTGAGGTGGATATTTTTCTGCTCTCAGCGGACTCAGAGTTCAGAACCAGCTAATAAGAGAAGAACCGCGGTCCGTGCTTGCTTTTGTACGGCCGCGGTAGTCCAAGCGCTCAGGCGGTCCATTTTCCGTTGTCAGCGGAATCCCCTTAGGGGTAATTTTGTCCGAAAAATTTAGCTATGTATAAATAGTTCTTTCCAAAATTTTAGATCATCTGTTGTTTATAAAGCATGTGAACCGCGGTTTTTATCCTTTTAGAGTAATGTTAGAACATCTTTAGCAATTAATCTTACATTTTACTGTTGTAATTACTTTTTATGGCTTATATTTCATCTCCATCTTTGATTTCTTCTTTTATTATGAGTAGCTAAACCCATTAGCAAGGGTTGTGGCCCAACCCTAGTGTGGGTATTTAATGGGTCTTCAATTTTAGGGCTTAAATATTTATGGGTTAATGACATTTAGCTTGATTCATGCTTTAAATGTTGAATTGGTGGTTGCAAACACTGATTTGTGCCTTTTTGACTTAGGCTCTTCTTGAGAAAGAGAGACTAAGTCTAGGAAATTCAAGCTAACAAGGAATTGGAGTACATTCAAGAGATTGATAGCCCTAATTAAAGGGTTAAACCTAGAGATAGCAATACCCGACTTGAACCAATCTTGCTTGTATCGTATAAACACCCAATTAGGCTTGAGAAAGCTAATTAGGGCAAAGTCACTCAAACTACCGAGAGATATAGAGTGAGTAATTATGTGCAATGGTTATATCTTGATCCCAATTATAACAAGTTTTCCCTAAGTTTTAGACCCCGTTAGATACCCACCTAGGTGTAAGTCACTTCCCTAGTGCCTTTTTAACAATTGAGAAAACCCTTACAAAAATATCATACTTAGATTATTTTCATTCTTCATTAGTGTTAAAAGTAGAATAGCAACCAAAACAAAGCATGATTGGAAGTGCAATTAAGAACATCGCACATAGCTAGATTACATAGAAACCCAACTCCAAACTAATATTAGCTCTCTGTGGATTCGATCTCGACCTTTCGGGTAAAAGCTGCATCGACCACTCTTGTCATTCTATAGTGGTATAGGGTTGGATCCGATCACTAAGCACTGCATGAGACTAAGTATTGTCTCCAATCTTGCATGAGGCTAAGCCTTGTCTCCTCAACTGCATAAGGCTAAACACTTCCTTTCACTGCATGAGACTAAGCATTGTCTCCAATCTTACATGAGGCTAAGCCCTGCCTCCTCCGCTGCATAAGGCTAAGCGTTGCCTTCCACTGCACGAGACTAAGCATTGTCTCTTCTTGCTTATCCACAAATGCTACGATGTTCGAAACCTTGCATTATTCTTTTCTCTCGGGGCTAAGCTCTGTCCCTCGACCTTACATAGGACTAAGCTCTGTCTTGTTTCATCTCAAGTATCATGTCTTTGCATCTCATGGGCTGAAGCATAGCCAAATTTTTCGAAGGCGTCATAGTCCGAAGACATCATCCTCATAGCCGAAAGACACCATGGCATGGCATGAGGATCTCTCAGTACTGCACATCATTATTCAAAGGCGTTATGGTTCAAAGGCACCATTCTCATGCCCCGAGAATATCATTTCATGGCCTACGAATCCCTTATCTCACGATTCATGGCCCAGGACGTCACGGTCTAAGGACATCATCTTCACCGTTCGAAGACAATCTTCATGGTCCAAATTTGCATCATATTTAAATTCCCGCAATAGCCTATATATTTGCATGCGTCATGTTTTAAGTTTGCAAGTAATCCAGGAGGTAACCTCTAGACATGTAATTTTTTACGCTCCCCAAAATTCTTTATACATTTTTAGCGTAAATATTTAGTTTAGGTCTAGTATAGTTATTTCAACTAATTTTGAGTCTTTTATTTTATTTTATCGCAAAACAAATGACAATTAAAAAAATATATATAATATTTTTCTTTATTTAGCTAATTGATATTTTATTTAGTTACTTTTAATTTATCCACATTTCATAAAATTAAAAAATATGAATAGTTTCACTTCTAGTATTTAGTTTTATTTTAGTAACTTATTTTAATTAAGATTGGTTATTATATTTTATAGATACATTATGTTACCTAGTCTTCCTACCCTAAAATTAAAACCCAGTAAGACATGCTCAAACCCAATTTTCTAAGTCCAAGTCCATATCCATTCCCCATTTGACCTAACCTAATTCTTACTTCCTATAAAACTAAACCTCGCTAAAAACAAAAGGATCTACACCCTAGGAGAGACAACAATCGTTTTCTGATAAAAAACTAAAGACCCTTTTCTTCATCTTCAACCTTAAGCCAAAAAAGGACCAAAATAATAACACCCCCTTCCTGAGCTTCTTCTTCTCCATAGCGACAGCTCATGAGCTCTTTTTCCCTGTATGAAAACCAGCTCATTTACCTCCAAATCGATCAGCCAAAAAACATCCCATTACAGCCCAAATTTCAACTCCAAAAAGCTAGGAAAAGCAACTGCAAAACAGCTCCAAGAACACCTCAAATCTAGCATGAAATTCAGCTCCAAAAGCAGTAAAACCCATCTCAAAACCAGCCCCAAATCGGCCTAAAAGCACCTAAAACGTTCAATCCGTCGAGGTCGTTGAGGTCACCATTCGAGTGCGCCTGTCGCGGTTCTTTTTCGGGTTCGTTGTAGATTTTACTTCGGGGTGTATTCAAAGGCTTATTTTTAATAAAAGTGCAGAAGAAATTTTGGCTACAAAAGGTTCCATTTCTCACTTTTAGTTTCATGCTGTTTCAGTATTCTTTGTGTTTACATGTGAGTGTTGGTTTACTTATCTATGTTATGGTGTAGCTGGAATTTTTATTTTTATGTTGAGCATTTAAATGGTGTTAATTGGATTTTGGGTTGATCACTGAAGTAATTTCAGGTGTTCAAATATATTTGGTCTACTTTGTCTTTTGTTTCTTTGTCAACTACACAGAGATTCTCTGTTCATTTAATTCTTCCCCTTATTTTGAATTTCTAAAGTCCTTGAATCCTATTGAAATATCAGTTCATTTGTTAGTACTAATTTATTTAGTACATTTTTATGAGTACTTTATATTGGAATTAAAATTATGAATTTCGCTCCTTTTGTTTGAGTAGAAGAAGCTTCTAATTGTTATTTCTGTGCACAGTTGAAGTACTGACATTTCGGTGAGAGTATGTGTTGTTAATTTATTTTTCTTAATTCTGGGCTCTTGTTGATTTTTGTAATCATTTTAGTTTGTAGATGTGATATTGACAAATCACTCTATGGATTGAAATTTTTGATTGGGTATCTCTGTTCTTGTGGGTTATATGTCTAGTTTTGCAAATCTCGACTTGCATGTAAACAAAATAAGGTGGCAAGTGAAAGTGACCAAATCTGTCTATTCTGCATGCAGTATTTTCCAAAATTAACAAAATATAAGCTTTTTTAATGTTGATGGCAAGAACCTTTCTGGAATTGGATTCCTCTTTGAAGTTATCTCTATGTACGATTTTTCTTTTGAACATTTAGGCACCATTAATAAATAAATCGTCGTGACTATGGGTACGGTTCCCGTGGCGTAGTTGTGATACCTAGTTTCAAATTAGTTTTAAATATGAATATCCGTAGTTTGCTTTAATTGAGTAAAATCTTTTGAAATAAATTGAGGTGTACCATCCACAAATAAAATCCATAACCCATGGCCCTCACATTAATACTAACTAGTGTAGAAAATACTATGAACATTCGTAGCTTGCTTTAGGCGCGACTTAATCTATCATCGTGATTGTGTACACGTTTGCGTGACATGATTATGACCCTAATAACAAAATTGAGGTATGCGTTCGCGCAACTTCGACCAAAATTTCTTAATAATAATAAAGCGTGATTAATTGTGGACACGTACGCGTGACATGATTTTTGACGCGTCAAACAGCACACGTACGCGTGACTCGATTTTTTTAGATAATTCATTAATTAAGTGTAATTAAGCAAATAAAAGCAGTTAAGGGGTAGATGCACATAGGTTCCAAAATAAGTAATTAGACAATTTAATTGAGCCAGGTATGATTAAAGCGACCGTGCTAAAACCACAAAACTCAGGAATGCCTAACACCTTCTCCCGGGTTAAACAGAATTCCTTATCTAGAATTTCTGGTTCGCAAACTTTTAAATAAAGTCAAAATTCTCCTCGATTTGGGATTTAAAATAAACCGATGACTTGGGACACCAAATAAACTATTCCAAGTGTCGACGCTTAAATTTAAATAAAATAGTCTCATTTCGATTTATGCCATTTTAATTGGAAAAACTCTCTTATATACCCTTCCGGGTAGAAAAAAAGAGGTGTGACATAACCGTCCTTCAAACGGGAGCAATCTTCGCTCCGGATCTCGCTCACATCATTCACACCCTGCCGTTATTTCAAACGTAACTGTCTCCCATCAATTACTCGCTTTTACTCTATGACCGTTCAGATATCTGCCCTGTGATACATCCATAACATCTCAAATTCACATTCCTGGCTTCGCACAAATTCATCCGATACTATCCTACTCAGAAGAACCCTTTCCGAAACACACAACCATTCCTATAACAACTCTGTCGGTTTCGTTCACCGTTGGATCCAGAACTACACATGGCCTAATTCATGTAAAACCAGGGATATGTAGGCAGCTCAGAATCCAGGGCTCGGCCTATATTTTTTAAAATCACTCCATTCGGTCAAAATCAGTCATTATTTCTTTACCCGACAACTCTTTTATCCTTCCCGGATAAAAAGGGGCAACTGTTGATACCCATTTTTTTCCTCATATTTTATATATATACTTTTAAAATAGTGCACATGTATCATTATTTGATTTACAAGCATGCATACGTATTTTTCATAATTTTTAAAAGTTTTAAATCAATTTATTTCTGCATTTTATTATATAAAAATCCAATAATTATCCTTCATATTATTTTTTATGATGATTTGATCATCTAAATTTATTATTTATACCAACATAATGTTTAAATATTTTTCAGCGCATTTTTATAATTACATTTGCATTTTTAAGGCTGAATTGCACATTTTGCAATAATAGCCCATATGTACTTATGATTATATTATTTATGCAAAAAATAATTGTTTTATATTATATTATTTATAGTGTTAAATAATTGTTTTAAATCATTTTTATGCACAAATGATGTTTTTGTTATCTATTTATTATCTTTTATAAATTATTTATTTATTAAAATTGGATATTTAAAATTTGGCCTTAATTCTACAATTAATTTCGGACCTAAGCTACCC